CTAAAACATACATTTAATAATTTAAAATTAATACACTCGTTTAGGATAATACTAAAAAAGAATAACAATTAAAGTGATATTTTTTCTTCTGTATTTTAAGAGAGAATCGAATATTATACTTTGTTAAATTTGATCTGGTATTATCCTTTTAAATGCATGCAATAATATATATATATATATATATATACATATATTTAAACCCACTGCACCTTTGTATTCCTTCAACTTCATCTTCAAGGTTGACAGACAGAGGCAAAGCAATGGGGATGGGAATGATGGAGGTCCATTTGATTAGTGGTAAAGGACTTCAAGCCCACGACCCTCTTAATAGTAAGCTCCAATCTGCGGTTTCTGTTGCTCTCATGGCGCCTATGCTCTTACTTACTCCTTAACCTATTCATTTTCTCCCCCATTTCGCAGAACCAATTGACCCTTATGCTGAGATCAACTTCAAGGGCCAAGAACGCATGAGCAAAGTTGCTAAAAGTTAGTCTCTCTTCTTCTTTCCAACCTCAAAGTTTTTATAAATTAATATCATTCTTGATTGTATGATTTTCAATGGCGCAGATGCAGGACCAAATCCATTATGGGATGAGAAATTTAAATTCCTAGCCGAGTACCCTGGGAGCGGTGGTGACTTCCATATCTTATTCAAGGTCATGGACCATGACGCTATAGATGGTGATGATTACATTGGCGATGTCAAGTAAGACCATTGATCTTCTCTTACATAACTACTACTATTACTTCTATTACTATCACCACCACGTTCAATGTTTACGAAAGATAGAAGTGAATGATGGTTGCAGAATAGATGTCAAGAATTTATTAGCGGAAGGAGTTAGAAAAGGAAAGTCGGAGATGCCGCCTAGAATGTACCATGTCTTAGCACACAAAATCCACTTCAAGGGAGAAATTGAAGTTGGAGTGTCCTTCAAGCTGCAGGTAATGGAGCGTGTTTAGTGTTTGACATGAACATTTGTGTATAAAGTTAAGCTTATTTGGTTTGATTTAATGGTGAAACAGGGCGGCGGGGGATGTGGAGGATGTAACCCATGGGAAAACTAAGTGGCTTGGCTTCTTCAAACCCATTGGGGAAATGTATGCAAACTTGTTGCTTTATACCAATTTGAATTTCTACCTCTTTTGGTATGTTATTCAGATTCTAAATGTCAAACTCCTATGACTTAACATAAAATAAAGGCTATCTTTTTAAATAATTGTCTAATTTGATTTTTTATATTATAACATTGACCCCATTATACTCAGTTATAAAGCATATCGCTCTAACCATGTCGTCATGGGTTCGTGACTCCCATATACAACGTTAGAGTAACAATTTTCTTGTACATGAAATAATATTTACTATAACGCCTATTTATTTATGGTTAAATGTTATGGGTATGATCTCACTGCTCTTTTATTTATTTGTATTGTAGTTACTTTAACGATTCCAATTGAAATCAAGTTATTTAAATGGATAGTTTATTCATATATACAACTGCTTATTGGTTTTTGATAATGCACATATACAAAAATCATAATAATGTAATACACGTTATACATATTTTGTTCACGGACATCCACAAGAGGAATAGTTGCTTATCTATCCCAATACGATTAAAGAGGAGATATTGCATGTATCTATTGTGTAGAAATGAGTGATGGACATAGCTCCCACAATTTTATATTTCTAAATAATAAATTAAAATTTTAAATCTTTTCAGGCTAAATTTTAAAAGTAATTTTGGGTCATAAATTCTACTTTAAGCTTTTGTAATATTAAGAATTAAATTCGATAAAAAAAGAAATATCAATGGTTAAAATTAAAAACTTGAAAGAATCAAGAACTAATAGAATTACCAAAAATAAATAAATAAATAAAATAATCTTAAAATTAAAATATATATTTAGCATTTTATAATTTTACTTCACATGTATATGAGTATTTAAGATAACATAAGAAAAGAATATAAATTAAAGAGTGATGTTTATTATCTTCTCATTTTAGATCAACGACAACAAAAATGAAAATGGAATATTATACTTTATTAAATTTGACTGGAACATTATTCATTTAAAAAAATTATTGTACTTACAAATTTAAAATATAAAATAAAACTAATTTTTTAATATTTAAAATTTGACTTAAATTTTTTATTTTTTTATTTTTCGTAAAAGATAAATAAAAAAACAAAAAAAAAAGGCATAAAATTAAATAAATAAATTGAATATATATCAAACTAAAAAATTATAGAGGACCCTCTAAAAATTTAGTATATATATTATTATCTGTATTTTAGCAACAAAGCCGTCTTAGCTCAGTGGTAGAGCGCGTGGCTTTTAACCACGTGGTCGTGGGTTCGATCCCCACAGACGGCGTTTTTTTTTTCTTCTTCCTCAGTTGTTCTGTCAAATTTTTTAGAACAGAAAACTTAGTGTTGTGTCTGTATTCATTCATTTAATTCACCTTCCTCACCTCCCACACCTCTCATATTAATGAAACCCACATTCTTATTTCTTCCAAGAACACCATCAAGAATCTCATGAGAATTCCCATGCCTCTACTAATCTCAACCGTCCATTTCTCATTTCCTTTCAAATTTCCCTTTAAAGCTCAAATCTTTAGTCAACTCTTCCCCCATTTCTTCTTCCCATTTCATCCTTAATGCCACCCACGATCACACCCTCTCTCTTTCTCGCATCTTGAATACAACCCTCTTCAACTTTCTGCTATCTTCTTCTATATGTTTCTCTCCATCCCAAAAATCATGAAATTTGAAGACTTTCTAATGGACCCAACCGCAGCTCATCAGCGCAAACTTGACCTTCAGGGTGAAGTGAGATTCTTTCTTTCTCCACCTCTCCCTCTCTCTTTTGAATCACAAGCACACACTAATCTGGTTTTTCTTCAGGTTGTGAAGTTAGAGGCTGAATTGCATGGTGAACAACAGCTCAATAAGGCTCTGCATTGGGCTCTTCACGGCCCTTTCTTGTCCCATCCCCATGCTTCCTCTTCTTTACCACCTCAGGTACATCCATTTTGCATTGGTTTAAGCAATAGTAATGCTGCATAAGGGATTTCTTGATTCTCTGTTCTTTGTAGATGCAGGTGCTCATGGAAGAATTGGGAGTTGTGGAGAGAGAGATTGAAAGGCTAGAAAGAAAGGTTGAAGAGCTGAAGTTGAACTTGTACAAGGAGAGGGAACAGAATAAGGAGTGGGAAATTCAGCAGAGGCTTAGATGCCTTTGGCAGCACAACCTGCTCTTGAATGGACCTCAAATTAATAACAGCTCTGTTCTTACTGCCCAGCGATCCAGATCCCACCATTATGATGAACTTAGAAAAGATATAATGCTGAGTGAGCGGAGATTCTCTTCAAGTGCTGCTTCTGACATCCAATGTCTTCCACCAAGGAAGAATGCAACGAGAAGCCGAAAGCAGAGCCAATTAGAGAGAGAAACTTGCAGTGAGACACCAAATGAGCTTTCAGAGCAGTTGATTAAGTGTCTCATTGGCATTTATGTTGATCTAAATCAGCCTTCATACAGCAGCAAAACTTCACCGAATATACCAAAACATGGCCTTTCCTGCATCAGCTCAAAGCGCTGTATTGCAAAGACCAGCTTCAGTTGCAAAGCGCCTCAGCTCACATTGTCTTTTGATTATACCTCATCCAATCCCAATCCCAATCCTTATAGTATACTGCTGCTTGACTCAGAAGGCGGTGTGAGGAACGTTGGCCCTTACAAGAACTTCATCCACATTACGAGAACGTCTTTCGACATCGGTAGACTGCCCGAGTGTTCGACGTCAATCAGAAAGTTGAGGTGAGTAGCAGCCTGCTTAACTAGATTGCCATATAGCGATGAAACTTGAAATTGTTCTTTTGCTTCCTTATTTTTGCAGGATTCTTATTCATAAGCTGAGCAGTGTGGAATTGACCTTTTTGACGTACAAACAGAAGTTGGCATTCTGGATAAACATTTATAACTCCTCTATAATGCATGTACTGTAAGACATGTAAGACACAGATGAATTGCAGCTATGATCCTATTTGAATATACTGACTGTAATCACCAAAATTTCAGGCATTTCTTGAACATGGGCTGCCATCGACAACTGATAAACTCTTGGCTTTGATGAACAAGGTATATGCCAATGTCCCAAGTCCTAAATACCAAAACAACTCTGAAGCTTTATGTGATTCTTCTGTCCTGCAGGCTGCTCTTAACGTTGGGGGGGTAGTTCTCAATGCTCTGGCTATTGAACATTTCATTCTTCGGCATCAAAATGAAACGAAATATGTAAGCGCGACCTGTCTTGTAGTTTATACTTCAAAACTACTATCAGTACATGACGATGGTTCATTGAATATGTTGTTCCCTTTGAAGCCTGTGGATGAGAAGGAAATGCTGCTTCGACATGCCTATGGCTTAGGATATCCAGAACCAAATGTGACATTTGCTCTCTGCAGAGGCAGTTGGTCTTCTCCTGCAGTTAGTATCTTACTTTTTCTGCATATTTTATTTGCATCAATGAATCTTCGAAAGAAATTGACAGACTGTTGAAACTTTATGAAGTTAAGGGTGTATACGCCAGAGGAAGTGGTGAACGAGTTGGGGATGGCAAAAGTCGAGTATCTGGAAGCATCGGTGGGGATGACGAGCAAGAAGAAGATAATGGTGCCGAAGCTTCTTCAATGGCACATGAAAGATTTTGCAGACGATATGGAATCACTGTTGGAGTGGATTTATAGCCAACTTCCTCGCTCTGCAAGCTTGAAGAGGTTGATAATGGAGTGTTTAAACGGCGAAACTAAATCTCCCATCCCTAAAATGGTGGAAATTCAACCTTATGAATCCGAGTTTCGTTACTTGCTGCCCATCTAATCTAAGTCGTATGCAGATGCAAGCGAGGGGAATTTGCTATTCATTCTCTCAGGAAAGGCTTAGCAGCCTTATGTAATCTTCATCTCTTACCCATTGTGTTAAAAGCATTTCCACATTAGATAAAACTCTATTAGAATCGTTCTTACAATTATGCACCAAAGAAATCATCCAGTGTTCTGTTTCTAGACGCTAGGGGCAATAAATGAACTTGTAATCACTGAAGAGTTGGGGTACAGACAACCAGTCTCCATGTCTTTTCATATACAACCAGGTTGATACAACTTTCATCAGAGATACAAACAGTTTGGTCTGAACAGCATAATAATATACCTAATCAATTGAATGATCAGAGTCATCAGAGTCGCTCCTTTCAGGCTCCCCAACAGTTGTCTCAGTTTCCATCACATCAGGCTTCGCTGCAGGAGTGGATGCAGGCTTTGCACTTGCATGATGAGAATTCTCATGTTTATCATCTTGATGTTCAGCCACTCCAACATGTGAGAATGCTCAGTTAAGGAACCTCTAAGGTTAAAATTGTAGCATAAGATCATAACTTTATGTCAGAAGAAGAGGAGAAAAAAAGGCATTTTGTCAGTTTCAATTCCCTTCAATCAAGAATTTCATGAGTGCTAATTAAAATAAGTCTCAGTTCGCCATAGTTTTGAGATGTAAACGATGTTTATGATGCAGGTTGAGGTGGGGATGTGTGGGATCTCACATCAGTTGGGGAAGAGAACGAAACATTCTTTATAAAGGTGTGGAAACCTCTCCCTAGCAAACACGTTTTAAAACCTTGAGAGGAAGCCCAAAAAGAACAATATCTGCTAATGATGGACTTGGGTGGTTACAGGTTAAAGGATGGGTACATGTTTCATAAACTAATATGGTAATGAGTTTCAAACACATAAATTATCAAGGATATCTGCATTTTCGGTAGTTCCTCCTGCCATGATGTTTAGTAAATCTTTCTCCACACGTCGTACGAGCTCAGGCTGCCAAAAAGAAGAGAGAAAGAATCAGTATGTAACAATCAAAAGGCACTTTCTAAATGCAACAAATTTTGATGTGAAGAACAAAAGAAAATAAAGAACTAGTTCTCTTGTTGAGAAGATATGTCACGTATAATGAAAACGCTTAAGATATCACTATTGCCCTACAGATTTAAAAGATCATTGTTAATTTAGAATTTATATATGAGAGAGACACACGCCAAGCATAGACTATATTCATCCAATAATTTGTCCTCAACTACCTACTCCTTGTAAAAGTAGGAATCTAAATGGATTATCATGTCGTACACCAGTTTACTATCAAGCTAATAGTAAGACGGATAAGAATGGCATACATTTAAATCCGGCTCTCTTCGAAATCTACGTTTTCGAGCATCCCTCATAGGAGGGGTCAGACCATGTCTATACTCGGTTGAATCTGGCGCAGGGTCGCCTGGTTCTCTGACCATAATCATCTGTTAAAATGATAGCATCTCATAAAATCTAAGAAACAGCCAGATGATATCACCTGAAATGTATAGACTAACGATTTTGATACAATTTTACCTGGGCAATGTCTGCAGCTTTGATTAGCACAGTATCATCGTATGTTTTATATGATTCCACTACACAGGGGAGATCCAGAAGTGATGCTGGAAAATGGTCGTCACCAATGGCAAAAGTGCCACTTCTCCCATCCTCTGTGTAACAATTTACGAGGCCATAAATAGGCAATTAGGCCAACCCTCACAATTAAGATAAAACCATACTGCACAGTTTCATCTATTCCAAAGCTAATCAGTCCAAAAGTCTAGAAGTTAATCTATTCATCCAACATCACAGCTAATGCAATGAAAAAAGCACAGAACAGGGAGATTGAATCAGAAGATGACTGCATAAGTTTCTTTTACCAGAGAAAGACAAATCCAATGAAGGATCTTCAGATGACGAAGCATTTTCATTCAGTAGACGTTCAATTCGTTCAGCAACAGAAGGTGGAACCCTCAGTACAAATTGCTCCTCCATGAATTCAGAGTCAAAATCAATAAAACTGCTGCACAAAGAAGATCAACCATCGCAAACGAAAAACATTGTTATTCTTTGTAAGGTTGATAAACAAAATCATCATTCGGCAATGAAAAAGAAATAGGGTTCTAGAACTAGTGCCTTTTGGGTTATCAAATCTGGAAAGAAATGGGCTTCCACACAAAAATTCGTTCAATTCATCTAGTTGATTCAATTTGAAAACATAATCTCGGATTACCTTGTATTCTTGAAGGGTGTGTTGGTATCGGGTTTTTCGTATCCTGTGCTTTGAGCTTTTAACAGCCCTTGTACCAAATCAAGGATACAAAAGCTGTCCCCCCACAATTGACGGTTGCCGCCGGCGAGGGACGAATCGAGGGGATAGCAGTGAGAGAGAAATCGAGGGGTACCTATAGCGCCAGGGAAAGAGTCGAGAGATACTGAAAATCGAGAAAATTCCATCTTATTTAAACCATTTTAATAAATTGAAAAATACCTTTTTTATTATTATTATTTTTCCCTTTCTTTCTTTCTAGTAGATAATTTACCTTTGATTGCTTTATTACCGTTTTAATTTTTAATTTAGGATTTCTTCCACCATTTTTTAATAAAGATTATATTAAAATAAATATTTTTTAAAAAAGAATAATAGACGGATAAAAATGAGAATTTGATTTCCACACGTTCTCAAAGGAAATATGAGTAATATAAATAGCGAGGAGGGGGACAAGAAAGACGTTCCGTCTCTGTCCCCGTTCTGGCTCGTGGACATCTCTATTTTAGATATTTATATTAATTTCTTATTAATTAATTTGGTTTTTATTTAATTTTCACTCACTTTTAATTACTAATAAAATACATCATAATATTTTTTTAAAAATAAACTAAATCAAAATTAAACTTAAAACTAAAAAATAAAAAATCAAATGTATTTTGAAATCTAGAAAGTAAAGAGAAACTCTACTATACAACTTACTAACGAAAATGTATATTTTTTCATTAATTAATTTAGGGTCCGTTTAATTACATGTTAGGCTTAAATTTAATATTATTTTTATTTTTATCCATAAATTTTCATAATATCAATTTTATCTCTTAATATTTTTTTTAAACCAACCATTTTTCATTTTATCCGACAATCATCATTAATCAATAGTACACATAATAAATAACACGAAGAACTAAATTTTAGTTTGATTAATATAAACATTCTTATAATAATTTTTTAGAGTAAAGTTTAATACATCAATAAGTTGGTAATGTGTAAAGTAGAGATGGAGCTCTTTCATCATTACCACAAACTTAACATTAAAACTTCCACATACATACATACCATACATACCATACATACATACGTTTGTTTATAATTTTCTGAAAAATTGAGAGCCAAAATGGAGCCATTAGAATCTGAAGTTGTTGGCAGTGAAGGTTTGACCAAACTGCCAATGAGAAGGAACAACGTTGGAGGAAGTCAAAACCCTTCCATCGCTGCCTTTAACACTAAACGACAGTGATTGACCCACTAACACATCGTTTGACTGCCAGTTTTGACCCCAATTACGTGTCATGCTCATCCACCCTGTCTTCGACCCCTTGATGCGCACACTCACAATGTCCCCAGCGCCTGCCACGTTGGTTATCAGTACCAGATTGAAATATTTGAACCCATTCATCGTGAACCTCATCCCTCCCTCCCTTCTACATCCCACCCTGCATTTTATCCATGATGATAATAAAAGTTCTACGTCAGCTAATTTAAAGAATAATTATAAATTTATAATCAATTTTCAAAAGTAAATTTATGAAAATTATGTTTAAAATATACAATAGCATATCATTATGCATCACTGAGACGACAGTAAAACTTGTGTTTTGGTCGTACTTACCTGCGAAACGAGACAGGGACGATCCCGGCGCGGTACTGGGCGATTTTGAGGAACATGGGCATGGACAGGTCGAAGTGAGGGCGAGGAGGATTGCACCACCCGCCGTTGTCATTAGGGAGCGCATAATTGGGAGGACAAAAGTTGGTGGCTGTCACGAAAATCGACGGGTTTCCAGCGTGGCACCATTGTGGGTCATTCACGCACTTGATTTCGAAACAAGCTCCACAGCTGGACCCGTCGTTGAACAGAGCTGCGCTCAATGCTGCCGTGTTTACGCCGTAGCCCTGGGTGTACAAGTTGCCGTAACCACACGCCCCCCCTGCAACCATATCCAAAATATTAATACGATTAAAAAAAATTAATTAAATCAACTGAAAAAGAAATTGAATTTTGAATACCCATAGTGCCGGAGGCGTCATTGCCGCCGTAGAATGTGGCGTGGGCGCTATGCCAGGGCCCGCCGCCGTAAACTCCCTTATGTTCTCTGCATTCCACGGCCAACGACATTATTAGCAAGAAAGAGATCAATGCTGTTGAAACAGTTGCCGCCATTACAGAGAGGAGTGGAGGATTTTACTTTGAAGAAGACGAAGAGGGCGAAGGGGGATTTATATGGAGGGAAGAAATAAAATTATGGGTTTTTTTTATTTTTTAGAGAAATAAAAGAACAAAATAGGTGGCAGGGGGGGAGTTGAATTGGGCACGGTTGGGACGGCACAAGACGGTGCGCTTTACGGGTTTAACATAAAGGATTATTGAGTGACGTGGCAAACCGTTAAATCAATCCACCAACCAGATCTATGAGATCGTCCACGTCATCGGGGGGAAGGGGTTTTCTTTTTAGTTTTATTTCTTCCCAACGACAATTCACCAACCTACTAGATTAGTTTGACTTCCACATGTGATTATGTGAATTATTTTTGCCATCCCAAACCTAAACTTTCTTTCAGTTCCAGAAAATTAAATTATTTATGCTTTACACATGCAATTTCAAATTCCGTGAAATAAATAAATAATGCAAAAGGCAAATAATTAATATATATATGGAGAGACATAAAAAAAAATGTTAGAGGAGTTGAATTTATTATAACTATTAATATTGTTGGTCGAATAAATGGTAAAATAGATATTTTTATTGGCCACATACAAGTTCAATATATTTGAGGTCTATATGTTTTCAAATTTTAAATTAATTTTTTTTAAAATTTAAAATAAATTATTTTTTTTAAAAGTTATATTATTAATTAAAATAGAACAGAACAAAAAAATAATAATAATATTCACTAAAATTCGGATTGAAAGTCTAAAACCCTAGAGAAGGGGTTTAGATACAGATAGATTTTTCAGCTTTCCCAGGAAGAAGAATTAGGGGAAGAGAGAAATGAGTGGAGCCGGAGCACCTGATTTCTTCTACAGAGAAGCTCAACGTCTTGGCTATGTCGCAAGATCCGCCTTCAAGGTAAAAACCCTTCCTCTCGCTGTTTTTCCTCCTCTCCTTGGAACCTTCAAGCTTCGCCAATCCTAGTTAAACGTGTTTATCGACAGTTGCTTCAGATTCAGAAGCAATTCAAATTGATTACTTCAGGCTCCTCCGTTTTGGACCTTGGTTGTGCTCCCGGTGCCTGGCTTCAGGTCTCAATACTGCATCCTTCACATCCATTCCACAAATTTGTGTCCTCTTTTGACTTCCCAAATATTTTATTTTTTGGGTGAAATATACTGATTATGCCATTTGAATCTAGGTAGCATGCCAGAGTCTGGGGCCTCTGAAAAATGGAGGCTCTGTCGTGGGTATTGATCTCAAGGTGAACTGTTTATCTTCTTCTGGGTTACTTAGTTGTGATGTCAATCTGCTGATCTCATTTTTCGGCTAGTAGTAATGTATATAACAAGAAATGTGGGTCTTGCAGAACAGAAGGTAAAAGTTCCTCATGTGTATTGTGACTCAAGGGTTCAAACTGTTTGTGCTGATGTAATGAACCTTCCCAAAAACAAATTGAAGGCACTATCTCCTAAGGTAACTGGACATATAAAAGATCGGAAATTTCTTATGGTATTATTTATACCAATGTCATTAACATAGCTCAATTGGCTCACTGGTAATATTCCTGTACAAGCATGATCTCCTCTTTGAATGGCGTTATTAATATCACCCAATCACCTTCTCTATGTTTTTGCACAAACCATATTTGATAGCATTCTTCAATGGAAGTGCAAGCTTTGTGCAATTGTATGGTTTAGGGGATATGATATTTGCTCTGTACCTTAGAAAATTGAAGTTTGTTTAGAAAAACATAAACATATCACTCCTGTATGCGAGGAGTATGAATGTGTAGTGGCTGGGTAAGGAAACTTTCCAAGTTGTGAAAAACAAGTTACACTGTCTAAATCTAAATCCTGTTTATTGCTTGGCTCTGTAGGAGAAAGGATTCTCTGTAATACTCTCTGATATGTGCCCCTTGGTTTCGGGAATCACCACTAGAGATGCAAGTTTATCAGTCGAATTAGGGATGCAGGCAGTTAATATGGCTCTCGGAGAAGCTGCATTATTAAGTCATGGAGATGATGTTATGCATGGGAAGAACAAGGAGGACAATGTGGATGATTCAGCTTTAGTCTCAGATTACGATGGCGTGCTGCAAAAAGGAGGCCATCTCGTTATAAAACTTTTGGAAAGTGAAGATACCCAAGGTAGAATTTTATTTCCACATAAGAAGACTATACTTCATTTGTAGAATATAGTTGGTTTATCTTTACATTCTTTTTCCCAGAATTCAGCAGGATGTTGAAACCACTCTTCAGAAAGGCATCCTGGTTGAGGCCCAAGGCCACTAGATCGTCGTCAAGAGAGATTTATCTTATATGTCAAAGCTTGCAGGCAAAGACATAAAATTTCAAAATTTGAGCTGACTGCAACCGTACTCCATTTACAACTAGTATATGGGATGCGAGCCAATCCCAGAGTACTTCGAAGATCCAAATATCAATCAATCAATTAAGGTAATTTTAGATTTGAACGGGAGTTCTCGAACCCACTTAGAAACCTCGACCAGACTTGACTGTCATTGGAGTGACAGCGTTTTTTTCACTAGTTGCAATGCGAATTACTTGCGAGATTTGTTGATTAGATAAGTTTGTTTGCTCTGTATAACAACACTTGTTGAGATTGGGTGAACCAATACCAATGCACTGCTCTCTAGTTAGAAATGTGGCTTTCATTGAAATTGTGTTGATCAAAAACAAAAGTACTCTTATCTGAATCAGAAGTATACACTCCCTAGACATATCTGAATCAAAATAGTTTTCTCTGTTCAACATGTCACTCCTCTCTTGCACACAACACATACTTTACGTGCGTGGAAAGAATTGCAGAGACTGCACACGATCACATATCAAACTGCATTTACAAATATGAATTATGAATGAGAGAATCAATAAAATTAGCATCCTATGTGAGAATTTTGTCACCGAATTTGCGTTCGTCCCAGAGACCAAAGGCCCGTATCTCTGACTGGTGTCTGAAAAACCAAACCAGAGACAGACAGACTCACAACATTAAGTGT